CATGAGAAAAGTGTTTGTTGTATAACTTGTGAAGAGGAAAAATGCAGGAAACCCACAAGTTCCATTAAAGTCATTGTACAACTTCAACTGTGAGACAGCATAGTTTCCATAATTCGCTTGGCCCCTTTCATACAAAGTAGAAGAATTTAACAATTGTAAACACTTAATTTGATAATCGAGCTCGAGCTAGTTTATAGCCTTAATTAGGTAACGAGTCAAACTCGACTCGGCTTAATAAAGGCTCCAATCCGAACTCAAGTATTATGAGTTCAACTGATCAAGCTCCTCATCTTATCTACAACATTTTTTAATTTTTAAATTGTATTTTATTTTTTAAAAGTTATAATAGATCGACTTGTCTAATCGTTTCTGTCAAGCTTTTCGAATATAAAATCACAAATGTTGTTGTTAACCAGACGATTATACCTTCTTATAACAATATACTCATACTAGTAAGTATCATATTTTTGTTTATTTTTATATTTATTTGACAGTCTAGCAAAAAGAATACAGTAAAAAAATATATCATTTTAAACCACATATTATATAACAAATTGTGCTAACCTAACAACTAGGCGAGTCAACCCATCATACGTTTATCAACAAAAAGACATATCTAAGTTATGAATGCCATAATTTTATCTATGTCATATTTTTTAAAATTGTGATATTTAAATTTAAAAATATGCACATAAGTTGAAAAATCACAACTATATGTCTAACAACACATTACCCATTGCCCTTCATACATATTTCATTTTAGTGTTACTTGTTCAAATCTGCTAATATCAAATGTGGTGGTTAGAGCATAAAGTGCTCAACTTTTTTTCAAGCCACTAAAATTGGCATATCATTGAATGATGCCTAAGAAAACTAGAGGGACATTTGATTCCTTTTTAGAAGAAGAAAAAGAAAAAAAAAAAAAAGACTCTCATCTCTCTGCATTTACACTTTAGGAAACAAGAATTCACGAGACACCCCTGAAATTTCTTCTTTGAATTCATCTTACTTCTTGCCAAATGAACCACTTTTAACAACACATTCACCTCATAATTTTTATCATATATATCACAACCCAAACTCATCAAATCTCTCTTTCTCTCTCTCCAAAACCTACATTTTAAAAAATCAATAGCTTCTAATGGCCATCCAAATTTCTATCACAAATCGAGTGTCCGATATGAATTACAAGAGAAATCTATGAACTGATTTTCTAACAATTTCTCCCTCTGCAAACCTATCATGATATCGAGTCCGGTTCATGCTAGTAAACGAGCCCTAAATGGATAGCTCCTCCAAAAGCTCCGACTTGTGCCGCTATTTCACTTCCCACCAATTCATGCACTTCATGAAGTCGATGCACACTTTCAAAAGAAAAGCGCGTCGTGATCGTGTGTTCTAACTTCCAAAAGAGATTCGTTATCAGATCATTTTTTTTTTCTCTTCA